GGGTATAATTGGGGGCGCAAACCGCAAATCATGGACCAGATTTTTAGCTCGAAAGCCAAAACTTTGATAAAAATGTGTTCTACCACAATATTACGTAAACAGAATTCACTTAAGACACAAGTCATAAAAACACAAATATCCAGACTATTCTATGACTAAGGTTGGAGGACTTGATATGGATTAAAAGGAATAAATTATCCTCATTCTGTAACCAATGATCAGAAAAACCATGGGGAGGTTCCAAAGGAACTTTCTTGACTCCATTGTCACAGTTGTCTTCAGGTTTGAGAGAGAGTCCACTATAAAATGTTTGAATGATGAAGCATGCAATGTATCCATGTTTCACATTTTCAATCACCCAAAACCTTGATGGATGTTAAACCCAATGTTAGATGGTTCCACAACCACACCTGCCACTTCCCTGTGCTTTTATGTTAATTTGTTAAACCATGCCCTTTTATTAATGATTCGTAGAGTGCCATAGAATATCTGAATCAAAATCATCCTTGATTTTTAGGATTTTTCCAATAATGTAGCTTACATAACATAGAGCTCAATTTTAATAATCTGAATCACTTATCAAAACAAAATCTGAAGTTCACAAGTGACTACAGTTTCAGTCTAAATAAATTTTGTTGTGTTTTCAATGGCTTTATTTTTAATTAAGTTACTTCAGTTAGGGTCTATAGATATCCCTCTAAATCCTTCATTTGTTTGATGCCATCCAATCAAACTTCTGCCATCTCCAGCGCTGCAATTTTGCATTAGACTCTGAACACATCTTTTGTCTGTGTCACAAAATCGTAGCACTGTAGAAGGCAGAATTTTGATTGGCTGGAGGTGTTAGCAAACAGATGAATATTCAAGAAAGTCTTCTTTAGTGACTAAATATAAAATAAAAGCTCATAAAAAAACGAAACGAAAGTTTGGTCCTAATTCGACTGGGTCAGTCTAGGTATCTAGTTATATAACATTCCCTATACAGATTTTATCGCTGTTGTGGTTATAGACCTTTGTTGTTGTAAATAATGTTTAATTCCCATGAAAAAGATTGGTGAATGCAAATGTATATAAGTTTTTGATTATAACTAACTAGACACAGGATATCCATTTTCCAAAATGATAGACAAAATTAAGGTCTGTCCTACTTTAATTTTGAATTCTATTAAAATCAGTAGAGATTCACTCTGTCACTCTTTATGTAAAGCAAATGTGAAGATAAGTGTATTACTAAGAAATACTATTATGTAATACATCAATAGACCTTATTCATGTGTCAGCCATATTAAATCCAGAACGAGGCTCATAAAGCATACTTGAAAAGGTAACGTTATGTCACTGCATAAAATCGCCACCTAAAGCCTCATTCTCCAATCCCACTAACTCGAAACTGATCATATTTTACATCATTAAATTTGGTTTTGATGATATTTTCAGATGAATTTTACCTTCACAAGTTTCCCAAGAAAGGGAAATTTTGAGCCCATTTGACGTCAAATTGACTATTTATTCATATGATGTCACTATCTTATCAATAGATGACGTAATTTGTGTTATGAACCTCGCTTTCAGTGTCTCACAAACAAGGCGTGAATAAGGTCTATGGCATAATCAATCTGCATGTAAATATAAACAAGACCAGGACTACAGGCATACCCTGCATTCAATGTAGACTTGTCAAGATTATCATTATGATGTAACAGATAGTGATTTTAGTGATAAAATAAAGCAAAACAACAGTTAAAAACAAAACAACAGTTAAAAACAAAACAACTAAATAACCAGATCCCTTCTACTTCATTAAACATCCATGAAAACTGACCTTTTTTCAAATAATTGTTGGATATTTTGACCTAGCCTGAATTAAACAAATCTAATATTAAAGAGCTTAGTTTGAGACACATGAATCATGTTCTTGTACCAGTGCAAAAAAAAAACTGACAATGCAAAAGCCAGCCTAACTCTGCCAGCAAATATCAGAACAAGTATATGTTGGCATATGTTCAAACTTGAGCTGCTCTTGACACATGTATCTATCATCAATAATTAACACAAAATATATAAAAATATTCTGAAAGAGATAGAGTCATATAAATATTTCCTTTCCCAGCTATTGATGGTTTGTCTGTAATTTCAGAGAAAAGTATAAGTTGGCAGAGACTTCCTTGCATTAATATCAATAACTATATTTGTAACATAAATTGAATTTTTGCCTTTGATGTTTTTAAGAAATAATTTGCTCAAAATGTGTGTTGGAGGAAAACCATGGTCTATTATCAACAATTTGTTGTTGCTCCATACTTGGATAACTTAACATGAAAGCCAAAATGATTCTTAGAGGTGGAGCTTAGGTGTGCTACAACCAGTACATTTTGATATTATTGCACGGCTGAAGTTCCAGCTATTTCTTTTTAAAAAGCACATTTAAATAAAAACTGTTTGTTTAAATATGTTAACTCGTAAGAATCATGGTATATAGATTACATAGAGATATTACTTAACGTTACCACTATCAAGGCCTCAATATCATTTATGCTTTTTTCATGAATTACAGACAGACAATGCAACAACTGCAAAAGTAAATATTTAAGCTGAAACCCTTTATAATAACTGAGAGAAAACAGGTAAGAAGAAAAAATTTGCATAAAACAGACAATACTAGAAGTTGTAAAATCAATAATAAAGAGGGTGGGAAACAGTATAAAATCAACAAAAGTGGATCTTACCGCGTGCTTTTCCTAGGTGTAAACTGTTCATCTTGAGTTTTATCTTTATCATCTTCAAGATTCAACTTCCTTAAAATCTTTGTTCTCCAGCTCTCTTCTTTTGGAGGAGCAAGATGACCATCTTCTCCAAACACTTCATCACTGTCTCCTGTACTACCACTACTTGAATTACTACATTGATTTGGCTGTGCTACTGTTTTCTGTTGAAGGTATAGTTGCATGCCCGCAGCATGTTCAGCACTCACTGATAACTGTTTATTGTAAGGTTGATGGTTCACCTTGGATGTTACTTCTACAAATAAAATCATCAGAAATTTAAAGTCACAAAACTCAATGTAGCGTTGGTTGATACTAACATTCTTTTTTGATAATCTTTAAAACAGTTTCATTAAAGTTAGACCAAACTTTCCTTTCGTTTTTATTAGCTTTTTTTTCTAATATAGCCACTTAATTAAGGGTCTAACGACAGCCCTCTTGAATATTCATCAAATTAACCTTTTGACCTAACTCTATATCTGCTTTAACAAGCAATTTCTATCCTCTCCAGCACTGGCATTTTGTGATGCGGTGTTTAAGTTTATTTGATGAACATTCAATAGGGCTGTTGTTAGACCCTAACTTAAGTGGTTATATTAAAAATAAAAGCTAATAAAAAAACATAAAGAAAGTTTGGTCTGATTTGAATTAGACTGTTCTTTAAAATAGTAATTGGGTAATAAATATCTGGACACAATTATATGAATAACAATTACTTTAATAAAATACTTTGTGACATTTCAACAAAGATTCTTCAGTCTTTATCAAGCAGTATTTTATTAAAGTAATTATTATCCATATAATTGTGTCCAGTTATGTCTTGTCAAAAAAGAATATTCAAAATTTCCTGAAAAACCTTATATATTCTTTAAGAACATGACATGGTTTGACCCATCTATTAAGGTACACTAAAGCATATCTTTATTCTACGGTGTTAATATTTTCTTTATTTCTACTCAATATATGGATTTACATTTTATTTGAATCATGTATCAATAAAATACAAAAAAATACTACAGAGTGCTGAAATCAAAGCAGTTTACAGTCTACTATAACAAGAATTCTTATATTCTCATATAGAAGCTATAAATGAAACAGCAAACTCATTTAGTGCTAATATATCACAGCAAAACTAAACTGAAAAGGCAAGTGTGACAAGGAATATACAGGTAGGTTATTGTGCAGGTATAATAAGTGTTGGAGTTGGTCAAGGTATTAAGGTATCAGAATCAGGTGAAAAAGAAATACAATGAAGAGAAATGAATGTTTATTAAAGCCCAGACTACTTTTGTCTGTAGTTGTGCAAGCACAGTACGTATCCTTAATGAATGAAAAAATCGCTTTTTCTATTTTTCGTTGACAGAACTTTATTTATTCACAGTCTATATTTCATATATGCAAAAGTCTTGATGTACCACAGATTGTTAGAAAACTGAGTTAATTTTGTGCTCACGGATGCTGTACACATCTGAAAATAGCAAAATGACGTCAGGGTATTCTCAGAAAGGTATTTCCTGACAATCAATGGCTGGATTATGTCATTATGCATGGTTAATTTACATACATATGTTGTTGGTATATTGCGTACTACCAATCTGGTACACGCATACGGATGCGTATATACTTCTGAGCATAGCAGACAAAGGGAGTCTGGGCTTAAAGCAATGAATGGCACCCTAACTAGGGTGATATAAATACACTAGTTCAGTGTAAATTTGGTACAATACAAATTTAGTCATATCACTCTGTAACAAATACAGTACTAGTTTGAAATGGAACATCTGAAAAATATCATAATTGCGAGAATATTTAAGTGGAAAAAGAAATTAGTGTGTATTCATACTTCTGAGATATTTCCGTTTTTCTTTCCGACGTTGATGAACCCTACAACAACCCTCTGAGAAACCCGAGTCTTGTTCTCGAAATTCTTTCCTCCTGTCACATGCAGTTTTCTTTTCCCTTCTCACCTCCATTTCTTACAATGTCACTTTAATCAAAAGATAATGTTGAAATTGGTTTACAGATATTGAACTTGGAAGAACACATTATAATAAATAGATTCTTTCTAACAATTTATTGTTTAAAAGAAAATACTATTTTGATAGAATAGGAAAATGCAGGTAAACAATCCATCAGATTGCTAAGATATCCCCCATCACAATGTAATTACTCATACAAGAGTTGAATATAAATCTAGCTTATAATTCCTTAAAATACAAATCAGACACAAGACAAAAATCTAATAGTATACTCCCAAACATAAATCTAGTTTTATACTATCAAGAAACAAATCTCATTTTAAACTCCCAGACACAAATCGAATTTTATACTCCCAGACACCAATCTAGTACTATACTTCCAGACACAAATCTAATTCTATACTCCCAGACACCAATCTAATACTATACTTCCAGATAAAAATCTAATTCTATACTTCCAGACACCAATATAGTACTATACTTCCAGACACAAATCTAATTCTATACTCCCAGACACCAATCTAATACTATACTTCCAGATAAAAATCTAATTCTATACTTCCAGACACAAATCTAATTCTATACTTCCAGACACCAATCTAATACTATACTTCCAGACACAAATCTAATTCTATACTCCCAGACACCAATCTAGTACTATACTTCCAAACACAAGTCTAATTCTATACTTCCAGACACCAATATAGTACTATACTTCCAGACACAAATCTAATTCTATACTCCCAGACACCAATCTAGTACTATACTTCCAGACACAAATCTAATTCTATACTTCCAGACACCAATATAGTACTATACTTCCAGACACAAATCTAATTCTATACTCCCAGACACCAATCTAGTACTATACTTCCAGACACAAATCTAATTCTATACTCCCAGACACCAATCTAGTACTATACTTCCAGACACAAATCTAATTCTATACTCCCAGACACCAATCTAGTACTATACTTCCAGACACAAATCTAATTCTATACTCCCAGACACCAATCTAGTACTATACTTCCAGACACAAGTCTAGTTCTATACTCCCAGACACCAATCTAATACTATACTTCCAGATAAAAATCTAATTCTATACTTCCAGACACCAATCTAGTACTATACTTCCAGACACAAATCTAATTCTATACTCCCAGACACCAATCTAGTACTATACTTCCAGACACAAATCTAATTCTATAGTCCCAGACACCAATCTAATACTATACTTCCAGATAAAAATCTAATTCTATACTCCCAGACACCAATCTAGTACTATACTTCCAGACACAAATCTAGTACTATACTTCCAGACACAAATCTAATTCTATACTCCCAGACACCAATCTAGTACTATACTTCCAGACACAAATCTAATTCTATACTCCCAGACACCAATCTAATACTATACTTCCAGATAAAAATCTAATTCTATACTCCCAGACACCAATCTAGTATAGAACTCCTAGACATAAATCTACTTCTGTACTTCCAAGCATAAATCTAGACAAAATGTAGAGTCTACTTGAAAATAACCTTCCTAACAAAAATCTTTTCAGAACCAAATGTTTATTAATACCCTCTCACTAGAAAATCTAGACTTCACAAAAAAACTACATCACATATCCATTTTAGTTGGTCAGATTGCTCTCCTAATACAGTTCCTAATATAGAACAGCTACATAATATGACAAAATTTCATGATGCAGCCTTATGTATGAGGTTTTGAGTAGACTATATTTTTGACTTAACATACATCAATTAATGACTTAAAACATTACTTATCTTCATAACAACAACAACAAATTATTACTTATCTTCATAACAACAACAACAAATTATTACTTATCTTCATAACAACAACAACAAATTATTACAACAATACAAACTTCGACCATATCAGATTTATTTACAAAACCAAACAATTTGCACCTTAGTTATGATAATAATTACAGAATTTAGCACAACTGAGAATAAAAATATCATCGAGCTACAACCGGATGTCACGATCAAATTTAGCCAAATCTACACTTTACTAGTAATCAATATATTGAGCATCATTTATACTGAAATAGTCATTTATAATTAAACAATTTTGATAATGGTCAATTTAGGAAACAATATTTCTAATGTCTATACTAATATTATGCAGTAAATGAAGCAATTTAAGTTGTTATTTACTACATATAAGGAAAGTATCTGCTATCTCATTTGTGAAATAAAATAACAAAATTATAACAGATGGGTCAACATATTAGTCAATAATATAAGCTTGTCAATAAAACATAATATGATAGAACTATTAAAGTTGGACTGCCATTAATCTATATAGCCTACAGTAGATCCTGCTCATGTGATCACCTTTAATTAGCAACCACCTTCAATATATAATACATACCTTCCTATAACTCTTCAATATCATTAACGACTGATAAGAGACCACCTCTATTACGTGACCAGCGACCATGTATTTACACTCCCATGATATATAGGATTTACTCCAGTAATTAATATTATGCTAATGATTGTATATGAATGTATCCATGCTATTTTGCATGCCTATTTTTGACTAATTTTTGGTCTAAATTTTAATTTGATGTCTGAAATTGCATTTTCTTTCAGATTTTGTGAGATCCTTCCGCGGTCTACTTTCAGTTTGGCTAGTTTCAAGATTTTCATGGTCATGATATATTGAATTTTTGTCTAGAAACTAAGATTTGGCCAGACTTTCATGTGGCAAATGAATTACTGGAGTGTGTCCATCAAAATGAATCAATTAAGCGACAATGACAGTTATCTCCCTTGTATAAACATCACATGGTTTCATATACAGGTGAGATTGAAAGAGGGTATAGTTTATCAGCAATTTGCTATCAATAATTTTTTCCAATATGGATGTCAATTTTATCAGTTTAAATTTGGAGGGAGGCTTATCTGATAATAAAACTAAATTTAGTGCTACTTTTGATTTCTGACCCAATACTCTTCTTAAAGACCATCTTCAATAAGAGACTGTTTTGGATTACTCCTTTGTTGAGTGGTCTCTTCAATTTCTACTCTGAATCTTTTTCCTGAAATATTGGTCGAGCCACATTGAATCCTTTAAAAAGTCTATCCCTTTACATCAATAATCGCAATTCACTAACAAGCTTGGTTTAACTAAGAACAGAAATTTTAATTCAGCCTAAGAACATTTCATCACATAATTCTATCTTTGCTAAGGATAATGGGAGTATGTGATGGAAATATCATAAGCATTGTTTGTGGCATCAAAATATGTCTTGTAGATAAACAATCAAAATAAACTTAAAGGTGCATTCCGCTTTTTTGTTAAATATTTTCTTTATCAAAAACCAGAATTAAACCTGAAAATATTTCTTAAGTACACTATTTATATCTATGTATCTTCTTGATCAAACTGAGTACTAATTGTTAATTAAGAAGTTTGACCTCGTTTTGGCCTTAAAACGGCCCGATATTATTTGGCGTTTAGTTTACTATAATTTGTACAGTAGTTTTCTAACAGCTTTCAAAAAGCATAACTTATAAATTAAAGGCTGGATTTTTTTAGTTAAAACTTTCAGATACGTTAAGGGACACATTTCTCTAGATTTTGGTATATAGTTTTCACAAATTTGAGCGAAATTTGTTTTTGACATACAAAAAAATGGGATATCCCTTTGAGCTCAGTAGGCTTTGATAAAAGTTATAATTTAAATAATAGAAGGACAATCCATCTTAAAATTGAAGTGAAGCTATCAAAATAAGGTTTGAATGTTTAATTAGAACAAACATCTGTTCCACCAGAAAGGTCTACTCATACTTTTATCATAATAACATATCAATAAAATTTACAATGACTCACACAAATGTATTAGCTTGATGTTGAACTGTTTGAGGTTTGCACCATGTTGTGTCTAGTATTGTCAATGGGAGCCTACTTTACAAGACCTCACAAGGTTGGCATTAACGATGATGCCACAGGGGCAGTTTGAAAAATTGTCCTTATTTGAAAATTTTGTAATAATACTTGAAAAATTTGCCATCTTTTATTTATGTATCTACTTGATCACCCTGGAATTAATCGGTCATTCAGTAGTGATGTTCCAATTGTCTGCGACAATCGATTATCGGTCATTGAAAGACCAGCGATGTTACTAATCGATTCTCAACTCAAAGTTAGTGATGTTGGCAAACCATATAAAAAGTCAGTCATGTTGTTTTTTGTTTATAATATAAAATTTCGAATAATGAATTAAACTTATTATCAGATTAGGTGACTAAAACAATGAGATCCTGATAATTTGTCACACCTTTGATTAATTTTTCCCCGAGGACTAGCCTTAGATTCGGCACAGAAAGAAATGAGACTGAATAAATTAATTTATAAAGCCTTAAAACAAGAACATGTTCATTAAATGGGGTGTGTTTCAATTATGCCTCTCCGATTATTTTGATAATTATTTTCATCCGATTGCCCATCACTATCATTCAGTCATATTCGCTACTATACAATTTTACTAACAAACTGAGAAATTGTCATGTATATATACCACTACCAAATATACAGTGAAAATTTGACACGTCAAGGCCAAGGTCATTTCAAGCATAAGTTTTGTAATTGTACTGCCACAATACTTCAAAACAACTTAAGCGACACTTTCCACAATAATAAACAAGTGCACTTACCCTTAAAAGTGTCAAAGATTTTGCCTGCAACCAGTGGGATGTGAGCGAAAGAAAATAAAAAAACAAAAACCAATGTTGATCTTTTCAAACACGATCAAGGTCAAGGCCTAACTAGGTGAACTCTAAAGACAAAAACTCTTGTCTTCATCCTAACATAAAATTTACCATAAAACTATTACACTTCAACAAAAAAAACTATCAACGGTTTTACTATCAACTGATTTAGTCATGTTATATTTTCATAATGTTATAGAAATTCTATCAAAACTTTGTTTTCAGATATAAAACCTATCAGCTGGTGTTACAAAAATCAATAATTTTCAAGAAATTTCTTTATTTAAGTTTCTGGGAACCACATGTATTGATAATATATTTTATGTTTTTGACAAATTATTTTATAATGATTTAGGAATTGGCAATGAAGTGAGTCACTAAACTGTTAACAAACATTTAAAGACCAGAAAACCTTCAGTAATATTGTGGAATATTTTCAAAAAACCTCTCAAATATTGGGCGACTTGAAATGAGTAAGATAGCTTGCCAGGCAAGATAACATACACCCACTGGCAGCTGTTAGAAATGATAATCCAGTCTTTAGTGACTAAAATGAAATTTTCTCATTTTAAAGATCTTCATAATGCATTTGGAGAATTTATTCATACACTTACTGTCAGTTATTTATGCTGAGTTTTTCACAACTCATAACTAAAAAACTGTTCAAAAATT